ATATATCCATCCATCCATCCATATATAAAAGTATATATAAAAAGGTATATATATATACTGTATATATACTTACATATGTATATCTCACATCCAACCTGTGGGGCATAACGACTGACAACATTTAGCATCAGACCTTCTACTTCTACCTTAAGACACATCACCCTATCTGACACTATTTTCACTTCTACCACATTCTTTGCCATCTCATACTTCAGGAACACCCCTACTGCATTCCTCTTCCTATTGACACCATGGTAAAACAGTTTGAACCCTGCTCCAATGCTGTGAGCCTTGCTGCCCTTCCTCTTGATTTCTTGGACACAAAACATCTACCTTCCTTCTCTGCATCATGCCAGCCAGTTCTCTACCTTTGCCTGTCATTGTCCCCACGTTTAGAGTTATCACCCTCATTCCTACATTCTTGACTTTCCTCTTCTCCCTCTGTCTCCTGAGACGTTTCCCTCTTCGTGGTCTTCGACTAACTGTAGTACAATTTCTGCTGCACCATGTTTGTCAACAGCACCGGTGGTGATTGTTGTTAACCCTGGCTTCGACCGATCTGGTATGATTTTGCTTAGATGAACTCACATATTAGTTTTGGCAACAATGTTTTTACGTCAGATGCCTTTATTGACAGAATCCTCACCATTTACCTGGACTTGGGACCCACACAAGACATACAATGGCTTGTGCTCCCTAGTGGCTGGTTTCATTTTCTATCCTTCCAAAAAATTTTGTAAAACAAAACCAATAACCACACACTTTAAAATATTGTAAGATAAAGTTTATTTCATGGTGATTTTTGGACACTATTTTGTTAAATACACTGTACAAATACATGCAGTACACAATACACGTTATGTAAAAGAGCAGTTTATTCATTAAAAGGTGTTGACTAATAAATCACTGCAAGGCTTGTGTAAAAACAATCATTTGTGATGTGAAAGGTCTGCAAGTATCTTTCCTTTAAAGGGATAGCTCAGATCAAATTATGAACATTTAATATCTTACCTGTTGTTGATAGCTCCATGAACAACTTTTTAAAAAGAAATAAAATTTAAACATTTACGTTGGCTGTTTTGCATTACATGGTTATTTCAGCTGAAAGTTTTCCAGACTGCTCTTGATGTGCTATATGTAGCTGCTGCTGGCATTTTTATTTGCAAATAACCCTACGATTCTATGTGCAATTACTAAATTAATGGTAAAGTCATGATATATAAAATAGTGTTTGTATAAACCAGTATAAAATCTGTAAGACTGGAGTTGTTTTAAGACAATGATCCATTCCAAGCCATAAGCTTGTCAATCTGGTAATGAAACTCTGTGCCTAATCTTTCCACTGAATCCTACTTCAAACAACCTGAATTATCCCTTCAAGGTTAAACTGTGGTTATATGTTTAGTTTCAAATATATTTAGCTTAACATGAAAAACAAGAAAAAAAAAGTCACACGTCTGCATTAAAGGAGGTACAAAAATAATTGATCTGACAACGTTTGTGGGCCATGCCACGCAACACAAAATATGAAAAAGCAGACCTGCTCGGTGCACAGTTCCTCAGATGAATTAGTAGTTAGACTCCAATTTTTGAATACTGGTGTTGTTGGCTTTCTAACTTCTGTTAAACCGCTCACACTCTGCTCTAAAATGGTGAGTCTCTGAAGAGGGAACAGGTGAAAAAGAAAACTTCAATTTTTAAAGAAAAATAGTCCCTCGTGTTGGCCTCAGTTGGCCTGCTGCCGCCCCAGCCTGATGTCATAGGACACTAAGTGGAAGTTGTCCCATGCAAACAGCTTCCTCTGGGCCAGGTTGTAGTCAATCATGCTGTTGTAGCCATACTTGTTCTTGAAGGGGATGGACATGGCCTTCCCCTGGCTGGTTTTGGTGTCATACATGTAGTTGATGGTGGTGTTGTGAGCTGCGTAGCTGGCTACGGTGTACAGCTTCCCACAGATGATGAAGGAGTTGGCCACAGATGCCTTCCTGATGTTGGTCTCCCAACTTTTCTTTACCTCTAGGGTATGGGGATCCAGCTGCGAAATCACAATTGCTCCATGGGCTTTGTTGGTGGAGTAGACGACCCATAGCCCCTTCTCATCCACAGACAAGTCAATGTCTGTGTAGCCCCCCCAAGAGTAAGGGAACTGGCCACGGAAGCCAGCATGAGGAAGTTCCCGACGAGCTGCGATGCTCTCAGAAGCCAGGTCGTAGCGGATCAGAGTACGACTGAACCGTCTCTGGTAGTACAGGGAGCCTCGATAGAGAGTAGCCCCGGTGCTTTCTACGGGGTCAGGAAGCAGCAGGACCTGTCACAAAAGAATGCAGGACTATTACTTTTAATGGTCTAAGAACATTATTGTCCCAGCAAGTGTCACTCATATGACCCCTACCTTAGATGGGAAGCCTTTAGAGAATTGTTCCATGTCATCATATCCGAACAGCTGCCTGACCTCAGAGCCGATCGCATCAATGCGCCAGACCATGTTAGGTCCGTATGGAGAAACAGCCTCAGGATCCTGCATCCACACACCGTATTTGCCTGCTATGCTCTCGGCCTTCCTATGAGTGATCGGTTCACCAACCAAAACCAGAGTTCCACAACCTGCAAGCAGGAACAAGTGACACATGAGAGGGAGTCATAGAGAAGTTTCTGACATACAGTATTTCAGGAGGCCGATATGGGGTAGAGGTAGGGCAGCCAACTCGGGACCCAAAAGTCCCAGGTTTGATTCCCAGTCATTGCACATGTTGTGGTGTCTCTGAGCAGGACACCCTATTCCTAATTGCTCCCTGGGCACCCACATAGCTGCCCACCGCTCCACCTGGGTGCATCCCAGGTGCGATGGGTTAAATGCTGAAAACTAATTTTGCCATTGTGTGACAAACAATGATGACAACACATAACACTTATATTACTTATTATTTAGTTACATTTAGTTCAGAAAAAGTCAACAATTTTCCAAGACAAATTCACATTTTGTATTTGAAAGTTAGCATTTTCCATTATTATGATAAATCTTGGAATCCTTGACAAAGAAAGTTTATATGATCCATATCGTACAAAGTGTTTGGGCACATCATGGCCCAGACTCATCTGACCAGAGGGAATAATTTAGCGCAGGTGCTGTAAAACGTACACCTCCATTATCAGCCTAAGAAGATTGTCTCAAGGTACCGATTGCTGAAACTAAAGCAGGACTTTTAGATCACCACACATGGCCTAGTCAATCCAAATTTGACCAACCAATGCATGCAAAGGTTACCTAATTATGGCAACCATTACCAGACCAGAACTACATCCCTGTTAATGAGTCACTACCAGAAACTTAACTATTGGTACTAACATCTAATTGTAGTGATCCAACCGTGATACTGATAAAAAAATACTTTCTAAAAACTTCTTCCCTTTTAAAAATATATTGTTTATTTTTTCAGAAGACAACAGCACAAGCAAGGTGAGAATAAGTTCGAAACATGGTTTGATTATGATAAAAGTAATTTGATCTGATGTCATTCTTTCTCAATGTGGTGGCAGATTGTAGGTTTGGAGATGCTCTGTCTTAGCACCATTTTAATGACCACCATCAGAGCTGCAGCGGATTTGCTGCACCTCATCCTGGGTTACAGAGAAAATGATCAGGGTGGCACTTCCTAAAATACAACCCTGCTCCCAGGTGCCAAGTGCATTACAAGATTTAAAGTTAGACTAAAATAACTGGCTTCAAAGACTGGTTTTATGAATACATTCATTACCATGTTGCATCATCCGAATTGGTTGATATTTTGTTTTCATTATGTATTTTCATGCATTTCCATTTAGACCTGAGCTGCTTTTAGAGAAAAGTTTATCCATCCAGTTTAACAGTTAAAGGTAAATGGGCTTTTAAAACATGCTTTCTCTATACACTCAAACTTGAAACTCAGAGGGGCTCTCATGCCAACAGTTTGGCATGACGGCGGTATTATCGCCCTAAATGCTTTAGTATTAATAGCAGTATTTGCTTTGAGGCTGTCAGCAAAGGGGTTGAATGTCATGTTTGAGAGGTCACATAAATGGATGGGGGGATATTGGGAGGAAATCAATTAGAGAAGTATGAGCTACAAAAACTGTGATATAACGCAATGCAATACGATATGATCCAATACAATACGATATGTTGTGAGCTACAATATAATATATGATACAATACAATCTAATATATTACAATAGCATACATTACTATTCAATGTGCTGTATGATATAATATGATACATGAAGTGATGTATAATGATACATTATGATATAATACTGTACAATATGACATAAAAAGACATGGTGCAATACAATGTTATAGTTTGCATTATGATATAAGATACTGTAAGATATACTGTACTGTAAGATTTTGGTTTTCATGTAACTTTTGGCCGTTTCTACCTTTGAGGGAACTTTGTTTTACTTTTTTACATGCTATTGTTGTATCAGATTGGTAAGATTTGAATCAAAGCTCTCACAAAATGTGAGTCTTTCAACTAAATGTAATTACGGTACATATTTCTGTGTCCCAATACTGTGTGTATTTTTGTAATAAACAAGCTCTTTCAGACAGACCTGTGTTGTCCTGGTTGCCATTGGGAGCAGGTACCTCAGTCACCTCAGCCTTCAGCTCCTGAAAGCCTGAAGCTCCGTACCGCCATGCTGAATCTGAAGGCACAAAGACACTGAGTGATCAGAAAACAGTACATGAAGTAAAACCCCTGCTCAGGCTGCTGCTCTGTCCCCCTGCCTGTTGGGTCTCGTCATCAGGTGAGGCATCTGGTTGGAGCCTAAACGCACACATTTCACAGTTGAGAGATTTATGTTGGAGGTGTTGAAGTTGTCTACTGTCAGGGAATATTTGGTCAAAGGTTGTGGATGTTTTTTTCTTTTCTTGCTACTCTACGGTGAAACCAGACGTGTTCCCCCCCCCCCCTCCCCCCTCACCCCCCTCTGCGCCCCCCCTCTCTTTACTCCTCTTCTTCCTTGACACTCTCCG